TACTTCTCTTCTTTGGGGTTTACTGTTGTGGCTTTATCTATTGCCTGTATTTTCAAGTGTGTATCTGACTTCCCTCGGTTGGAATTTTCCTTCTAGTGCTTTCTGTAGGGCTGGGTTTGTGGATAGGTATTGTTTAAATCTGGCTTTGTCTTCAAATGTCTTGTTCCTTCTGTGTATGATGATTGAAAGATTTGCTGGGTATATTAGTGTGGGCTGACATCGATGGTCTCTTAGTGTCTGCATTACACCTGTCCAGGTCCTTCTGGCAGACCTTTCCATTGGTGAGAGTGGGGTGTTGAAGTCTCCTACTACTAGTGTGTGAGGTTTGTGTGATTTAAGCTTTAGTAACGTTTCTTTTACAAATGTGTGTGCCCTTGTATTTGGGGCATAAATATTCAGAATTGAGACTTCATCTTGATGAATTTTCCCTGTGATAAATATGGGAATTGTAATCTTATGGCTTCTGTGGGTTTTTCCTTTAAAAGTACCAATGTGACTACAGTACAAGGCGACTCTTGCTCTTTGGAGCAGAGTTTGCCTGACTGTACATCCAGTGCATTAATAAATACCTCTTGCTGTTGCATCAACTGAACTGGAGTCTAGGTTCTTGGGGAGCCCACTTGAGAACCTAGATTTTTGGGGTCTAGCAGTTATGTTGTGTGTTTCCCTTCTTTGGTATTTATTGGTGTGTAACTATTTATTGCCTGTGTTTTCATGGGTGTATCTAACTTCCTTAGGTTGGATTTTTCCTTCTAGGGATTTCTGTAGGGCTGGATTTGTGGAAAGATATTGTTTAAATCTGGTTTTATCATGGAATATTTTGTCCCTTCATGACTAACTTTGGAGATGGTACATTATTTACTCCCTCTATTAATGACAGGCTAGTGATATGTGGTGCCTTTTCAGTTACACAGTTACTTGATGTAGGGATCTGTGCCTCAGGACCAGTCTAAGACCATGTTAGATAGGTAAGTAGCATATAGGGTGGTACATGACAGATACATAGATAGATAGATAGATAGATAGATAGATAGATAGATAGATAGATAGATAGATAGATAGATAGATATAGATGATAGATAGATAGTACATAGATGATATATATATATATATATGTAGATAGATAGATGATAGAGTCTATCTCCAAGTTTCCTAGCATACAACTTCTAATATCATGTAATCTCTGAATTAGTAGAGGTTTTTTGTGCGTAAAAAAAGTGGCCATGCCCCATAAATAGGCCAAGGATATAAGCTGGTCACCTGAATCCCTGCAACAGAATTAGAGGGTTGGGATTTTTAGCCCCATTCCCTAACCTATACATAGGGAAGGCAGGCCAAGGGTTAAGTTGATCATAAATAGTCAGTATTTCTTTTAAGCTACATGTTTTTCTTTTTTTTTCTTTTATAATTTCAAACATATAATTTACTTTGACCAATATTTTAATCAGTCATTCCTATTTGTGCCTCCTGAGATCCCAAAAGGACAGGATTTTAGGGAACTGATGTATTAAAAATTTCATAAGCCTTTTTGGTGGAAATATAAAATGGTGTAACTGACATGGGAAAAAGCATACAGATTTTGGTGATTTGGATGGGAATG